CTTTTGGATATATATATACGTATATATATATATATCCAAAAACCATAGACTTGGTTGCGATTGATTTAGCTTGCACGGAAATTTGAATATATATTTATATATAATATATTCACGATTTATCGCAATTTCCATTTCAATTTTTAACTCGAAACAGAGATCTATTGCCAAATTATTAATGTAGCAGCATTAATTCCGAATGCAACACTATTTTTGTCTCATAGTAATAAAGCTACTGTTAGATTTCTATTTTACATGTTTTCTCTTTAATTGATATTTTATATGAACATACTTTATATAAATAAATAATATTTTTCGATACAATCTCTGTTAAATTGAAATTTAAATTATAAATATAAACTTTACACATCTTGCTTATTAAAATTTTTTTTAGTTTCTAGAGAATATTTTGAAATTTTTCAATAAAAGATCCGAAAAATTTCAAAACTGTTCTTTCTTGTATGCAACATGCAATTTATAATCAATTGTTTCGGGACACTCTATAGATGCTGGTGTAAAAGTAATAATGTCGCGCGGACCTGACGCGACGCAAATAGAGGTTCTTCCTGGGTGGACCTATTTTTGGGATCGGCGGCGTTGAATTACGAAAGTCGTAATTCAACGGGGTTGCATCAACGGGTTGCAACTGAATGAGAGCGAAGAAAAGATAGCAACAGAATCGGGGGAGTCTACGAAAAAAAAAGAAAGAAGAAAAAAACGTTTAAGTTCCCAATGGACGTGCCGAATGGATTCCGCGCCGGAACTGCTTCACAGATGAAACAAAAACAATGTTTTTATAACCCAGTGCCAAGAATACAAGCTGTAAACTCAGTCGGTGACGATATCATTCAAGATTGCTACGATGCCTATCAAACTTGTGTGTGCGAGGGATCGATCATTTATTTCTGTAAAAAAAAACTACTTACCAGAAATCTTAAGAAATTCGAATCGATTTTCTATGTTATTTCTTCCTCCAGAATTTAAGAGATAGAAACAAATTACTTGAAAATTTCTTTCTCGATGACAATTTTGAAATTAATTTATAAAGCGTCACTTAAACATTCGGTAATTAGATCATATTTTCAAAATTAGAAATTTAACCTTCTTAGAGCAAATATATAAATTTCTACAATAAAATTTTATAAAGTAATCTGGAGTGATACGAAAACATTGATACGCTATAAGCAAATGTTTCAATTTCTTTCATTAATTAAATTAACTAATTTAAGAATGTAATAAAAACTTTATCGTACAAAAATTATCGAATTCGCAAAAATGTTTAGCTTTTAAGAAAGTATAAACATCTCGCTTATTGAATACAAAATAGTACTGAATGAATCATCATTAAAAATAAGACTCTCTAAGGATAACGAGAAGACGTTCATGTATATCTCGACTTTCGAAAATTTGTGTTTTCCTCAAAGTGATCAATTCGAAAATATCGCACCATAAAGCAAGGTGCATTCGTGTCCTCGCCTACGCGGGGTTCGCGAATAAGCGGGATAACGCACACGGCAGTTCGCGAAGTGCCATTCGCAGAACAACTTGTAAACGAGTCGCGGAGAATCGATTCGACACGTCCTCGCGCGCGGAGGGTTGCTGGCACGCCGAGAAAGAGAAAGAGGAGTGAAAAATCCCGTTGTCCGTGCCCCGTCCTTCCTACCGCCTAAGGACACGTCCTTCTTTCTCGTTCTTGAGAGCCACTGTGGATAATTGGATCCGCACCCACGAAGAGCCTCTCTTTTCCTTCCGCTTTCACGCTCCCACGAAATCTTTCGATCCGACACGCGCGGTGCGCGAGAATATGCGACACCGTGGCGTCGTATACATGTGATATAGTGTACGCGAGGATACAAAATACGATCCTGCAAGATAAATACAATTAGGACACTGCTGATTAATCTTTTAATTTGCACAATTATAAATTGTGAAAACCATCCGAAAATACTTTTGTGTGTCACTATATATTTAATCCGTATTCGTAAACAGTATTTATATTCATTTCATCGTACAGTTAAAATATTTCTAGCCTTTATTTAGCAAACGCTGATAAACGAAAATTTTATGTATCATAATATATTGAATGAGATTCGCGAGTCGCGACGCTAACTTTCGCGACTGTCACGGGCGCTGAATAAGTAATACACATTTCGCGAACTTCACAGTCTGAGTATATAAGCTGTTATAGGACCCATTCAATCTTTTATCTGTGCTGATACTTTTGTCCATAGAATCCGAATAATAAATGATTTTTGCACGTAAATCGTTGATGATGCTCGGAAAATATTAACAAGTTTCCACTGGCGACGCGCGCCGCGTGCCAATATTTATACTGTCATAACCTCTCGATTATATTTCTAGCTCGACTCTTCGCGTAGATATTTCACGAACAATTTTTCGCGCACATCTCGTCTGCTATTTCGTGCACACTAATTATGGACATCAATCCAAGATACAACAAATGTAATCGCGAACGTTGCGATTAGCTCTCATGCCCTATTCCAAGTAATCACACGCGATTGTCACGAGAAGATCAAGATGTTGTCATCTAAGATTTGACGAAATTTTTCGTCAAAATTCAATCAAGATGACATCATCTTGAGCTTCTTGTGCAGGCAATCGTGTGTTACTTGGGATAATTAACGTGATCTTATATAAACTTCACGCAGTAAAATAGATCGCGTTTATTTTTCCAGCAATGTCTAAATATTTTTAATGTATATATAATGGTATCCATCATACACTGGCGATTTATATATATATACTATATACGGAAATTCAAATGCCTCAATTATATGTTTCATTATTAGTATTTATTTAGCATTATCATTATACCATTTATATCGATTGACTTAGCCTCGATCTCATGTGACGTCCTGCCGTACTCCTGTGTATTTCCGTCCGCACTCCGCTCTCAAATCATGCACGCAAAATTACTATCCGCGCATGCATTATGGACGCGATTCGAAAAACATTAGCTGCATTTTTACTCGCGATACGCCACACATCGTAATTTCAATGCCGAAATACTTTACACACGTAAGCCGAATTTCGCGTTGCGATATTTCACGAACAATTTTTTGCGCACGACGCGCGTCTCATCCGCCGCTATACCGGCTATACTGTATTAATTAGCACATATTGCCAACATTACTCTGCACACTTGCATTGAGTGCGATTCGAGCGCTGATTGGTTCTCGCGCTCTGACGTACATTTTGCCAATCTCGCGCAGTAAAACAGACATCGTAATTAATTTCCAGCATAATTACGTCTAAATAACTTTAATACAATAATAATGTCTACCTCGTATATACTGTCTCTTTCCACTGTATACGGCAATTCAAATGTCTACTAATTACCTTTTATTATTAGTGCATCATTTATCGCCTGACTTATCTCGCTCTCGTACGTGGCGCGTCTCGCGTCTCCTGCCGACATACTCCCGTCCGCTCAAATCACAAAATTACTTCCCATGCATATATTATTGACGCGATTTGAAAAATATTGACGCATTTTTACTCGCGATACGCCACACGTCGTAATTTCAATGCCGAACTACCTCGATTGTATTCATAAGCCGAATTTCGCGTTGGAATTTCACGAGCGATTTCTCGCGCGCGCGTCTCGCCCGCCGCTTAACACCGTAGTTGGCACAAGCTGCCACTTACTGCCAACATTACTCTGCAATACTTGCACTGAATGCAATTCGAGCGCTGATTGGTTCTCGCGCTCTGACGTACATTTTGCAAATTTCAGTAAAACAGATCGCGCGTTTATTTCCGACATAAATTACGTCTAAATATCTTTAATATAATAATATATATATCGTATAATATCTGTTTGTGCTGTATATGACAATTCAAGTGCCTTAATTATGTTTTATTTATTACCTTTTGCTTGATTTATCTCGATCTCACGACGCCCTACCGCATTCTTGTCCGCTCGAATCATATGTGTAAAATTACTTTCCGCGCGTATATTATTGTAATTTCAATGCCAAAGTACCTCGATTATATACGTAAGCCGAATTTCGCGTTGGAATTTCACGAACGATTTCTCACGCGTGTCTCGACCATAGACATGTAAGATAACGACCGCGTCCACTGTTATTAGCATATTGCCAACATTACTCTGTGATATACATACCTACACGAAATGCGAACACTGATTGGCTGTCCACGTTACCTCGCGTATGTACGCCAACTAATATGCACTTTACAAACTTCGAAATGTAAAACGAATTATCATTTTTAATGTAATAATGATTTCTATTTCACAGTATTTCTCTTATATAAATAAAGTTATAGGTATATTTACTTTTTATTTCAATTTTAATGTGACTCTTTCCTTCTCCGTTCAATAATCCCTCAATCATTAGCTTGTTATTATTACTCTTATAAAATTAAATTGTTTTCATATAAAATGTTATATATATAATATATATAAAAATAGGAATTATAACTTGACATGTACTAATTTTGGAGAAAATTTTAAAATATTAGTCATAAAAATAAAAATGCACTTTATTGTTAAGTTAGATTTAATGATTTAATTTTGTCTTTTATCTCCTCTCTCAATAATGAATTATTATTAATAACAAATATAGGCTATTCAATTATCAAACCAGATGAAATCATGAAGGAACAGATCTATATTTTTTACACAGCGTTTATAAAAACTTTTAAATAAGTAAATGCTTTCGAAAAATGCGAGTGACTGAATTGTACCGCTAACAAGTCGAAGATGTGAAACTAATAGAAGTATTTTATCAATGGCTAACAATATAAAATATCTGCAAATTCTCAAAGTTCACATTGTTTTTTGAAGTGATAAGTATATAAGTACATATTACGTAGATTTCTAAAATTTACAGAGAATTGCAATATTGTGAATTTTCTGATTAATAAATGGAAATTGAATCTTCCAAAAATTAGCAATTATTCTTTTTCTCGTTGATAAGCACCTCGATCATCTCGATATGATAAATATATAAAAACTTTTGTATATACGCCATTCAAAATACAGTCCTATATATATATAGTACAATTCTATATATATAGTACAAATAAATTATTCCCAAGTCTATTTAAATTCTCTATGATTCTGTAGATTCTTGTTGTTCAAACTTGGGATACTTTGCCTCCACTTCCGTCCAAGTAGTTCTTCCATAAGAGAGATCCCTCACAACGCCAGGCAGCTCATCCAACTGTAATTAAAAATAAATATTGAAAATAAATAATTTTATCAAGTTAAAAAGAAAAAAAGAAAATATCTTTGATTTTCTTTATATGCTTATTATTGATGAAAGTTATTAAAGTTTGCTTCTAAATCAATTCAAATTTATACACGTACAAATTTCACGTAAATTCTACACATTGAAAAAATATACATACATTTATCCTGACTTGTCCCATGCTGTCTCTGTCTCTAAGTGTTGCACTGTGCGGTGTCCTCAAAGTGTCAAAGTCGATGGTAATACCAAACGGTATCGCTATCTCGTCGGTACGAGCATATCTGCGTCCTATGCTTCCGGAAGAGTCGTCCACTTTGTGCGAGACGTCTGCTCTTGTAAGATCTTGCGCTGCAAAGAAACATTAATATATTTAGTTTCGCTATATACAACAAGTCTTCAGATCTATTATCTACACTTTCAACTGTGAAGATTATAGATCAAAAGAAGAAATAACATTTTGTTTTCTAATATCAGGATGTCAATACAATATAATAATCTGACTCGTATGTTTCACTCACATAATTTTCTCACAAACGGCACAAATTCGTCGTTGCCACTGAGCGGTAATACCGAACATTTCAACGGCGCTACCACCGGCGGTAGGGCGAAATACGTTCTCTTCTCGTCACCTTCTCTCGTCTTGAAATTATGTTCGAACAGGGCATACATGATACGACCAATGCCGAAGGAAGGCTCGATCACCGAGGGTATAATCTCTTCAACGTGAACAGTCTTCTGGTAACGCTTTACTTCTATCATGTCCTTGGTGATCTTCACGACGACGTTGCTGGGCAGTGTCAGCTCGTGTCCTCCGTTCTCGCTAAGAACTTTCTCCAAGGACACAATCTCCTTCTCGCCTAATGCTGCTAGCGCCTCTTGCACTACTTTGCTATCCTTCTTGAACGTTTTACCGATCAACACCTTGTTCGGTATAATCTCGCAAACGTCCACCGTTTTCGGAGCGGGTAGTTTCTTCTCAGCCACCAATTTCACACCGGTGGCCTTGGTATGCTGCGTCAAGTCATAGGCGGACCGGTCGGCGCATCCCACGCACTCGATCCATCCGTAGGACGTCAGGCACTCGGCGTCCCAGCAGTCGCAGGCGTAATGCGCCATTTCATTGCTCATGTGCTGACGGAAACGCAGGCGGTTCGGATCGACGCCGACCTTCAATAGGAACCGATGGATCCGAGCCATGAAGTAGCCCAGCGTCTCGTTCGCCACCAAGCCAGACGAGACGGCCTCGCCTATGGTGAGGCGCTGCGCGCTCTTGCCGTCCATCTGATTGCAGGCCGAATACAGCAGCATACTTATGTCCTTGACCGTCTCGAACTTGGGATGACTCTTGTCGTTCGGGTCGCAGAAGTGCTCGATTTCTGCCATGGTGAACTCTCGAACGCGTATAAGTCCGGATCGTGGGGAAATCTCGTTCCTGAAGGCATTACCGATCTGCGCCGCGGCAAACGGCAGTCGTTCCTGATTGAACGCCAGTAATCGCTTGAAGTTCACGAAGATACCTTGGGCCGTTTCTGGTCTCAGGAAGCCCTTGATGAGCCCCGTCGGTCCAATCTGAGTGCCGAACATCAAGTTGAATTCTATCGGTTCCGTCAAGTCGTTACCGGAAACCGGCGATTTCATGTTATACTTCAACAACACTGCGGCCATCTCGCTCTTCGTCATACCGTCCAGCTTGATGATGATGTCCCTGCATTCCTCGCGCGTCTCCTCGCTCGTTTTCTTGTCGCAGATTATCTTCTCCAAGTGCGCCTTGATCAGGTGATCCAGCCGGAAGCACTCGCCGGTCTTCACATCCTTCACCATCAGATCGGCGAATCGCTCCACATGGCCGGACGCTTTCAGCACCGGCTCGGGTGTCAGAATGGAGCAGTCGACTTCCAGCATCTGTTCCTCCAGCACGAAGAAATTTCTCCAGGCGTTTATCAGGTTCGTCTTCAACGAACAGCCCATGGGCCCAAAGTCATATTGACCGGTGACACCGCCGTAAATCGCGAAGGACTGATCTAAAAAGAATCTACGCTTCAGGAGATCTTCCATCCGCGCCCGGTCGAACGTTACATTGCTGGACGCCAGAGACAGCTCTTTATCCTCTAGTATCTTTTTGCGCAGCTTCAGTTCGGCTACGGCCTTTTTGACGTCCAATTCTGGAGCACCATCGGATTTCAACTTCCGCACATAGTCACCCTAAATAAAAAAAAAAACAGTTACATCGCGCACGAAAAGATTGACCAAAGATTATCAGATACTGGCCAAAGTAAGGTTAAAAATTAGTACTGACGATACTAGCAAGCCTCGAGAAGGCAGGCGGTCCCTACTTTGCATCCATATGGCCACTCACTTGTTCCTTGACGCTCGCCCGGAGCGGCGCTAGGACTTCCTCGACCTTCGGATCCGTCATGTCGAGGACGAGGGCGATCTTCACGCTTCTGTTCGCCTTCCTGGTGCCCCACCGGCTGAAATCAAGAAGACTGACGGTAGCCGCGACGCGTCTGACAGGTGGTCTCGCAAGCGGAACGTCGCCGGACACGCGGTGCGCAGCAACCCTACGCGCGATATGATGCAAACCGCGCCTGAGAAGCTGCATTCGCCGCGAAAGTGATTGCACGATACACCTTCACGCGATCGCCACGCGCGCCACGAGGTTTCGCACCGTGGCTTTTAGGTTATCCCGGGTACCGTAGACTGTGCAGGAGCATTCGAAATCATACGCTGCAGTACCGACAGTACACTTACTGACAGCTTTTCCGCGGGAAATTGTGAAATCGGTATAACCTCAATAGGATAACATTGATACCACAGCATTTATAATATACAGATCTATATATTATATAGATGTCTGTGATTGACACCGATGAGGTATTATTAAAAACCAATGATTTTATGAAAATTTGTGTGACTATTAAAATTTAGACGATTAGCTCGTAACATATTAGTTTTATAATTTATTATAATAAATTTAATATAATTTCATAATTTATTACATTGTATATTCGATTTTTATTTCAAGACTGTACTTTTACTATTAAAAGAAATAATTTTAATTTTACTTTCAAAAGAAATAATAAAATAAAATAAATTTACTTAGCAAATATTTATACTTAGTATAGTTATGTGGTATATATTCTTCTTTTGTTTTCTAGTGCGTTATTTCAATAAAAATTATATATGTTTCACGTTTTTTAATAATAAAAGCGGAAATAAAAAAAATAATTACACACTACTTCACTTCATTTTATTTATATGCATATTAATATTAAAAAATAAAATTTACTCTCGAACGTACTTTATAAAAAATATCTAATATTTATTTACATTTACTACAATATATAGTAATCTTGTTGTGAGCTTATTACTTATCGACAACTAAACAATATTGCAATGAAAACCATTGTAACTCTTGTGTATTATGTATAAATCATTTCTAAATTCAACTGTTCATTTAAAGAACATTATCCATATATCCACATGCTTCTAAACGAAACGAAATAAATGCGATTTTAATTTTATAAAACAGTACGAAACTGATCAAGCTATCCGCAGGAAACAAAGCTCGTTTAATATCCGAATACTTTTTATTTCATTAATTAATTATCTCATCTTGTCTCACATACGTCATAAAAGCGCGAGTTATAGTAAAATTACAATGGAAACGCGAAGCTCGTTAGAAAAAAAAAAGTAAACGAAGAAAAGGAGATTGCGACACGAAGCATAATTGTTAATCCTCCGCTGGCAAATTTATTATAATTCTTCAATAAACCCAGCCTGCGTGTAACATGCATTTAGTCATCTTAACGTGTACAGACGAAGAGCGTGCGTCACGAAAATCTTATCACGTTAACGCCAGAATTTCGGACTGAAAGACGAATTTTGCACGCTTAATAATTCCATAATGTCGTACTCCACATAAATCATCCCTTACAATATACTAAGCATTTACACGTGCACCGGCGGCGTGTATTCTCGTCGCACGCTGAAGGCGGCCATCCGATATACTCCTTCCAGATTTTCATTACAATTGCGCTATAATTAAATCGTATAGATTTCTCGAATTTCCATGAAATCGTCTTGCGTTTTCTTTCGAGGCGTTGTACGTCACGAAAGCCCACCTTTGAGCCTTCGATCCTTCAATCTTTAATTTCCGAAGTTCTACGATCACTTTCTCCTATAGTTTCCAAAGATTTTTTGGAACAATGAGATTCGTTTATTGTCTATTGGACGATTTTATGTCTTAAGTTTCTCAAGAAATTTGCCGGACAAAAATAGCCGAGTTCTTGAAATCGGACGGCCGTATTTAGCGTTAAAAATGCGGCGAAAATACGGGCTGCGAGCTAATGCTTGTTTTTAAATGCAAAGATGAATGCTGTAAAAAAAAAAACAAATATCGTAAGCTCTCATTCTTTTCACACACACATACACACACTCTCTCTCTCTCTTGTCTCTCGTTCTACGTAACAATAATAGTATGAGCAAAACGATATTCTCATCAGTGTATAAACAATTTATTTTACATAAGGGTAATACTCTGACATCGAAAAAAAAAGCGATAATAATGGCTAATGTATAATAATAAATAAAGTATGAAATGTAAATAATGGGTATGTACAAGTATGTAGATGGCAAAAAAGCTATAACAGAGATGAAATAATTGCTTTCCTTCTGCAGATATATGAGCCGCTTGTTCCGAGAGTGGCGCAAGTCGATTGACGAAGGTCTCACTGAAGAGGTATCTCGTATCGCTTTGTTCGTTCATGTCATTAAAAATATAATTATATAATAAATTATATAACGAATTATATAATAAATTATATACATTACACGCGACGTGCAGATAAAGCTAATCGATTAAGATTAGCTTTAACAAAAATATCAAGTCGCCGATCTGCGTTTCGCAATTCACATTAATTCAGCCTTAAACAATGCAAGTAACATCGAATGTGATTTTCATTACGTTTCGCGAATGGGACTCGAGGCCGGGTCGTCGCGTACAACACCGCATTTCCGGTGTGTGACGCTATCAAGGGGGTATCTTTATGTTACACGAAACAGAACTCGACAGCCGTACCCTCGACGCCTGAGGGTGGATGGCCCGTGTGGCGACGACCCGCGAATCCCGGGGGATATTTGGAAATCTCCGCAACCGCTTTCAGAACAATGATACGGCTCGCATTACGCAACGATACTCTCTCTCTCTCTCTCTCGCGTTTTATGCGACGGTCTCCTTGTCGCCTGTTCCGCGTGGGATTGCACAGCTTACTTAAGCGTCGCGCTTAAACGTAACACCTGTACACTTAGAACCTACGAAACGTTTGACCGCGACGCCACCCAAGTAAACGAAGTGGAGACGAGGGAAGGAGGATAGAGGAAGGTGGGAACGTCGCGTCTCGTCGCGCGGCAAACAGACAACACCGAGACCCGCCACGGGAGACATAGTATTACTTATCATATATCCAGCATAAACGCCTTATCTCGCTAGAATAATTCGTCTATAATCAGAGGTATTCAACCTGGAGCAGGGGCGCTAAGACTTTCTAGGAGGATTCGCAGGTGCGATCCCGCTAAAAGAGAACTTTGGTAAGTACGAAAAACGTATAAAAAAGGGGATACAAATACTTCTATTCATACACGAAGAATTTGTATGAGTTGCCTGTCGTCTCCCTCGTCCTTAAAAACGTGCAAGAGGAACACGGTAAAAAAAAAAAAAGCGCGGTACGCTAAACGAGAATACAAAACGTCGTAGAAAATAAAAAGTTCTATAAAAGATCCCCTCGCGGGCGAGAGGGATGCCTTTCTCGGAAGAGTATATAAAATTCTAGGAGGAAAAATAAAAAAAATACATCTTCAAAGGGCATGACGGCGGATTGCTTTCGGGGGTTGAAAGGGGTTGAATACCACTGGTCTATAATAATTATGTATACAGGGAGCACCATGATAGACCCGTGCGCGCCTCTGCGTCCCACTTGGAAAAACGGATTAGTCATCTCGTGCACCCGATTGACTTACGCTAACGTAAATGCAACAATTTCGACCGAGCGTCGCGTGGGCGGGCCGGGAGGGGTGAATCTCCGGGCCCACCCGCGAAATTCCCGCCAAGAAGCCAAGATCGGCGGCCTCGTATTCCGGGCAAGAGCGTGCAGCGCGAATTCAACACGAGATTAATAATAAAATATCACAGTTCCGAGTCTGAAGAGTCGCTCCTGAAAATCATGGCTCTCCCCTTAACGCTTACGTTACACGTCCGAGAGACGGCGAGTTCTCCTTGCTTCTTTTTCCCCACTTTTTTTTTAATAAGTCGTAAGACATTCCTAGTTAACAACAATCCTACGCTCTACTGTAAGATTATCTATTTCGGAAACCGTAACGTTTAATAGTATAATACGTAGTCCATATACACCTCACTAGGGATGCTGTAGACTGTAATTTACTGGCTGCTAAATGTTCCATGAATACTGTATGTACGTACGTGTTACGCGTTTAAATGTATGTATGTGAAAAAATGGTTTTGAAAGAGAGACGACACACGTAGACGCGGCGTGACGCGTGCCGCGGAGAACAGTAACTGATTTCGGCTCTCACTGAGAAAAAGAGTACAGATAATATGATACGCATTATAAAAAAAGATCATATTTATAGAAAAGTGATTTATAATGCAAATCAAATTTAAATCTGCGATCCTGTGCGGTCTCCCCGAAATTATTCTTTGCAGCAAAATTATTTAATTTATTTAAATAATTTTTTTAATAGTAAACAATACAATTATTATCTAAACAGAAACTTCTTGGAATTTCTGATTCAGATGATAATTACTTGAAATACCGCAAGATAAAATTTTACATATAGATTAAAATTAAAATTATTATAGAGCCATTGCTAAAACTAGAACTGTGCTGAAAAGCACAGTTCAAATGAAATGGAGCTTTCCAGATGTTTAGAGAAACAATTTCAGGGTGAAAGCATCAAATCACAAAGAGTTGTGTAACAATTGTGTATATTGAATGATGTATGATGTACGATAAAATAGAAGAAAGCATCTCATTGAACAGCGAATTCTAACACGGTTCACACGCGAAAGAGTTTCAATCTGCATTTTATAATATAGTTGCACAATTTCAGCGGTTTAGACAGCTTGCAAATATTCGTTTACTCTTGCCGTACATCATGAAGGGGGACCAGTCGATCAAAATACAAAATCGCAAAAAATTTGTCATGGAAGTTTCCTATATGAAATTTTTCATACAAATTCTTATTTCCTCTTGGAAATCAAGGAAAGCTTAGATAAATCAAAATAGACATGCCATCATCTGATTAAAAAAAAAAAAAATTATAAAAGCTAATATAAGAATAAATTCTCACATATAAATTCTCACATATAAATTCTAAAGTATTACCCGTAAAATGTAAATCGTTATTGATTAATATCATAATTGAGTCTTGAACAAATTTAAACTCAAAATCTCATCAATCTACCTTTAACCATGTCGTTACCTAATTCTTCACGAAATATATTTTATGAATTAGAAACAAACGCGTCATGGACATTAAATCCTTCTTACGAGAATTTTGTTCAGTTAATGTAATGACCATCCCCCTCTTCGTTATACAAAATGATATACAAGATATACAAAAATGAGCCAAGTGATTGAATGTGTGAGGCTAAACGATAATATACAGCGCTCCTCCTCTCCCTTCGTTCATTCGATTATGGTACAATTTACTCCTCCTTCAATCTTCTCAGAATCATACGCGTCAATAACTCATCAGTTTCAACGTTAAGAAGCTATTGATAAAAGGCTAATCTGATAAAGCACAGCGCGCAAGTACAAAAAGTAGAAAAAGTCACGAGGAACGCAATTATGTATGAAACGTATTGCAGTCGTCTAAGCACTCGTAAAAAATCTCACTTGACGCCGCTCTAATGAGACTGGAGGATCAAACAAAGGAGTGACTTGTACCGCTTGACGAGTACATTTTCTTGTAATTAACTAGTGAACAAAAACGCATCGCAAGAACGGCGTCGACAAAGTCAAGAGTTTAAAATATTTTGAACATTTCAACAGATTGCACAATGCACAGTTCATCAATGCTGACGGCGGTCGCGCTCGTCCTTCACGACATTACATATCGGTATTGCGAAGTACTCGAATACCAACCATCAAATATCTCCTTAATATCTCCTTAATATTTCTGACTAAATATTTACATCGATGCGTTTTACAGCTTCAGTCTATTAAGCTTCGCAATCGCGGCTTTGAGTCTTTCCGACGGCTTTCGCCCGCGGCCATTACAACTCAGGATTACCCTCAACCGCGTTGCTTCCCTACTGTGCGGGTGGTTGAGGCTCGCTGGACATATTCGGATTCGGATACGGCAGGAACGAATAATTGGGATAGGGCGGCGGAGGATGCGGGAACGGCGTGTAGTAATTAGGGGGATGCGAAGAGGGAGGGGCGTATCCTCTGTGCATGTAGGGATCCGTCGGGGGTGGCGGACCGTGGAACGCCGAGTACATGCGAGCATAATCTGTGTTGTAGCTGGGTCCACCATATGCCGGATAACCGGGTGCTCCTGCAGATTAATTTCACCGTTAATATTCTCTAATGGATGTAACTGAATAAAAAGGTTTCAAAAGGTTTGAAAGTTTTATTCAGTATTTTGGCTTGTTTCTTAAACGTAAAAAGACCTCTTAAGACTAAAAAAGACATCGGGAAAATTAAGATAGGTAGATAATAAAATCATACTTCTTGTCTTATTTTACACTAAGACTCACCACCTGGAGGATAAGCTGCGGAAGAGCCAGGCGCCGGTGGATAGTGCTGCGAGTACGGGTCGTACGGGCCCGGCGGATACGGCCCCGGATACCGCGCGCTAGTGGGATGACTAAATGCGGTAGGTATATGCGTCTCGTCTCTGCTCGATGAGGCCACCGTGGTAGTCACCGTCGTGCTGTCCGTACCCTTAGACTCCGTCGCGGAGTTGCTCGTTAGCGTTTTGGCAGTAATGCTCGGTATCTGAGAAGAGTAAGCGGTAGGCACGTTCATCACGTTCCTCTCGTCCATAGGCTTGCCTAAGTCCGGCTGAGGCTTCGTCGTGTCTACTGGCAGTCTACTGCTGGGATTTGCCGTGTGCGGTGGAACGCTGGGGAAGTAAGTGCCATAGGGGTTGGACAGCGAGCGGGATCGCGGATCGCTGTAGTCGTAGTATCTCGGGTATTGAGCGTAGGGATATCCCTGGGGTACGCTCGGCGTCGGGTCGCCCTGGATCATGTTGTCTCGCATACTCGGTGTCGGCTCAGCGCTCTTCGGAGAAGTGATATTGGTGTTGGTGCATACGGAAGCGGTCGATGTCGCGATTGAATCGACGAGACTTTTAGGTGCTTCCGTGCTTCTTGCAGATGCGGACGGTACCGGTACACCCGACGATACCGGTATACTCGACGATACTGGTATGCTCGACGATATCGGCATACTCGATGGTATCGGCATGCTCGAGGGTATCGGTATGCTCGATGGTATCGGCATGCTCGACGGAATGCTCGGTGACATACCTGACGTTACTGGCATACTCGATGACATACTTGACGGCATACTTGATGGTATACTTGATGGCATACTCGAAATCGGCATGCTCGGTGGTATGCTCGATGATACCGGCATGCTCGACGGTATACTCGATGATACCGTCATACTCGGTGGTAAGCTCGATGATACCGGCAAGCTCGGCGGTATGCTCGACGGTATGCTTGGTGGCATATTTGATGATACCGGCATATTCGGTGGTAAGCTTGACGGCATATTTGATGGTATCGGCATGCTCGAGGACATATTCGGAGGCATATTTGATGGTACTGGTAAGCTTGGTGGTATTGACATGGTCGATGGTACCGATATGGCCGACGGTACTGGCTGCGGCAACAGAGAAGGCATCGGACCAGGAGCAATCGCGTGCGTCTGCGTCGCGACCTGCGGCGTCATCTGCGACGTCATTTGCGACGTCATCTGCGGCGTTATCTGTGACGTCACTTGAGACGTTTCCTCGACGACGATATCCTCATTGGAAGTCTCTCGCTTCTCCGTTTGACTGTGGAAGGATCGACTGTAGTTTGTTAACGTATCCGGCTTAGAAGGTTCCTTTTCCGATGGCAAACACTGCTTGTCAGCGGTTGGTGGCATTTCTGGTTCAGACTGGTCATGTTGTGTTTGAACACCTTGCGTGAGGGAAACGGTGTCAGGCGTGTAAACCTGTGTGCCTTCCTCAGAAGATTTCGGCAGAGATGTATCCGTATCCGAATTAGTGGTTCGGGTGTGACTGGAAGGACTGTACTCGGTGTTCGAGCTCACTTCTGCCACCACGTCTTCTAATCTGACTTCCTCGACACGTTGCTCGGTCCTCAGTTGACCGTCGGACGAGTTAGAGTTGTCCCCGAGTGTGGAATGATCCATAGGCTCTTGCTTCACTTTGGGTAGTCTCGACAGGGAAACTTGGTTGGTCAAGTTTACTTGGCTCAAATAAGGTTTGGCTGTCGCTGTAGCGACTGGTTTGGGTCTCTTAGAGATTTCCTTATCGCTAAACGGTTTATAACCCGGGCTCGGTGATGGTTTATTGAGAGGCCGGCCACTGGGTTGATTGCTAGACGATGACTTGGGTATTATGGAAATAGCCGAATTATTCCGTAAAGGAAAGCCAACCTCGGGTTTAGAATTTCTCTGTATCATCGAGGAAACTCCTGTAATACAAAAAAAATATTGAATATTTAAATATAATAAAATATTAATATATTAAATATATTAAAAATTAAAAATTAAATTTAATATTAAATATAGTAAAATACTTTCAAATAATCTAATATAATCAAGAATAATTATTAGCAATATACTAATTTGACTTGCCTTTCTTCGGCTCCTCCTCTCGCTTTTGTTGATTCAATTTAAGCGCAGTGCGAATTGCTATAATTTTGCCGGATTCAAGCTGCATGTAAATGCCTTTTGGACTCTTCAGCACCATTACCCGTTGACCCGCTTTAAGAACGATACTTCCTTTGTCGGGAGAATTTGTTGGTATAACTACATCTAGAGGTAGCGTCATCTCTTGCGCGCTCATTCCTTGTCTCTGCCATACTTCCGCCGGAATCCACCTGCTGCCAGTAACGCCACGCGGACCTAATCCTTCAGCACCTCGCTGTTGCATAGGTCTGACAGACGCAACGGGCTTCGGCGTGGTGCCACCGTCGCCGCCGCGAATTGCTCTGATTTGTAATCCACCTGCTGGAATAAATAATCGATGTATATATACAGAGTACGATTATCTTTTGACTTCAAAAATAAAGTTTCTATCCTAAAATATAAACTGTACCTCGCGTGGCTGTATTTCCAGGAACATAGTTATAACTCGGCCTAGAACAATTAGCTGCCATCTTCTCAAGCTCGTAGCCGCGACGGGCCAACCGTTTCTCAGCTTGACTGAGCTTCTTGTCCTTCCGATCAACGAGCAGACTCTCGTGGTGAAACGGTTGTTTGGTGAGCAACGAGGAATAACGTTCTAACACGAGGTGCATAACTTCGTCCGTGTAGCTGTCTTTAGTCTGCGAGAAATCCTGCACTTGACTGTCTTCCTCCCAGTCCCACGATAATGTCGTTGCTTCCTTTAGCGAAAGATGCGCATCGGGATTGCATTGATCGACCACGCGATCTGCCATGCCCTGTTTACTAATCTGTCGATCGTAGATCTTCCTTTCCAGACAGTTATCGGTGACCAGTCGATAAACGAAACACGGCTTTTGTTGGCCGTATCGGTAGACTCGGCATACAGCTTGCGTATCGTGACAGGGATTCCAGGAAGCATCAAATACAATCGCGCGATTTGCACCAACGAGATTGATACCCAGCGAGCCAGCGCGCGTAGAAACGAGGAAGAGATGAATCTTCGGATTGTTATTGAATTCATTGATCAGTTTTTCTCGTTCTAGCGCGCTGGTGCTTCCATCCAGTCTGTAATAATTCACGTTCTTAATCCAGGCATCGGTTTGACCATCCGGATACTTCAAATTATTTCGCGCTAAAAAGTCTTCTATGAGATTCAATGTGAATAGCGACTGTGAGAATGCGAGTACGCGATCCCCCAGTTTAATAGCTTCGTCGAGGATGCAGAAGAAGAGTGTCATTTTTCCGGACGCATCTATCAATCCGGGTACATATCCTTTCATCAACTCTGTTGCCTGTAATAAAATTAAGCGTTACAGAATTACTATAGAAAATACAAAATAAGGATTAACTCTAACAAGGCTATAAAAATTAAAACGTAATAAAATCAAAATTTTCCATTATTTGATACTGAAATAGTATATAATATGATAATAATATTGTAATATCAGCAGTAAATTATGATACAACAGTATATCATTTAGTATTAAAATAGAATATATTTTTAATAATATTTTATTGATATACCCAATCGTATGGAATTCCAGGATCTTCCTTCCCACTGGGAGAGCTCTTGCAATCTTTCTCCTCGTCTTTCGTAAGAATTTCATCGTCAGATTTATCCTCTTTGTCCTTCTCTATTTGATCTTCTTTTTCTCTCTCATCCTCCTTCGTCAGTTCGCCTTGATTTAGTCGAGGACTGTGCGCCGGATTAATTCCCGGTCCCGATCTGGGCGCGGGAGTTGCCGAACTCTGGCGATTCGGTTCCGCGGTGTAGCTCGGCGCGCCGGTGAGATTATTCTGATGCAATGGCTGGCTCTGCACACCGATGCTGGATGTCATCTCTTTGCTGCTCTTGTCACACGGCGCGCCGGGAGGTGCGTGAGCGCCGATGGGTTGCTGTGAAGTCTTGGACTCGTCGGGCCGCGAATTCATGTCCGTGCCATGACCGGTCGCGTAGTCGTACGACTGATTTGGATAATTCTGCGGCGGGAAGTAATTGTTCGGATAACGGTTCATACCGGGATTCATCTGGTCTCTATAGTACGAATCGCTGCATTGCTGATCCGGTCGGAATGATTGCGGATAATTGCGCTGCATATAATAGGGCTCGTCCGCGTTCTTCATCTGCCCGATCGACGCCGAATTCTGATGCGAGCCGTCCGACGGATAATTCGGCATAACGGGATTCTGCGTATGCTGCTGACTGGCGGTGTAATTATTGCCGGAATTGCCGGCGGTGCCTGCGCTCGTACGGTCGTTCGAAAATTCGTTTGCCGCCGTTGGAGCGTAACTCTGCGTTTGCTGCGACACCGCGGCATCTGGCCTGGGATAAAGCTGATCGTTCTGACCCAGAGATGGATTAGGCTGCTGCGGCTGATTCGGCGGATATGCCATAGGTTGATTCTGTGCCACCTGTGTCTGCTGCGCGGCTCCGTATCGATGCGCGGGATTCTGTGGCATCGCGCCTGTGCCTGGATGATTCGACGGATAACCAGGGTGAGCCTGATTCGACGGCGGTACCGTCGGACCCGGCTGATTCTGCTGAGGATACGATCCCGCCTGATTGGAAGCTGTGGACTGAGGCACCATATGATGACCGTAACCGTGCACCGTATTCTGTGGATTCGACGCCTGACCTGTCTGATCTGGAGGATACCTATGCGTCTGATTCTGTGCATTGACGTTTTGCGCGGGTTGATTGGCCGGGTAATTGGATTGGTTCTGCGCCACGTTCATTTGGCCCTGCGGCGCCGGGGTATAGCCGCGCATCGGACCCTGCGAGATGGGCCCCTGACTCGATTGATTCGGCTGCATGTAACCGTGTGATGGGGTTTGCGGCATCGGAGCGGACTGCTGATTAAACGCATGCGGAGTCTGCGGAGGAGTCGGATTCACCTGCGTAGGATAGCCATGCGTCTGGCCCTGAAGAGGCACATTCTGCTGTTGCTGGCTCGTATATGGATGAGACTGATTTTGCAAACTTAAATTCTGATTCTGCTGATTCGGCGAGAAGCCACGATTTTGACCGGACGGTGCGTTCTGATTCTGCTGCGGCGCCATATTATAGCCAGTTGCGGTTTGCGTTTGTTGCGCTGGTGGCTGACCTTGCTGAGACGTCGGGTATCCCATCGTCGAGTTTTGCAGCGGTTGCGCATCGTTTCGCGGATACATCGGATTCGTCTGGGGCGTCGGCGCCGGCGTGTAATTTTGATTTTGATTCGCGGCGTACGGCGAGTAATCCGGCATTGGCATGCTCGAGGATTGATTCGGCATCTGAGGCTGGAAGGAAGGTTGATTAGGAACTTGGGAATAATTGTTAGGTCCTTGATTTAGATTTGGCGTATAATTGCGCTGCTGATCCTGATAAGGATAATTCTGTCGTGGAAACATCCCGGGTGTCTCGTAATTGGTTCCTTGATTTTGATCCGATCGGAAGTCGGATCCAGCCGTTGCACCGCTGTACCTCTGAGGATGATTCGCGGACTGCTCGTTCGACTGCATGTAGTTCTGCGACTGATTCGCGTATCCCTGCGACGTGTTGTAACTCGTCGACGTCTGAGTGTATGACTGGAACGGTTGATTGCCATACCTTTGTTGTCCTTGATTATTATAGAACTCTCCGTGATTATATTCTCCGTGATTATTGTTATCGTTCCTATAGTATGTATTTTGTTCGTTCGGACGGTTCGGATAGTTCTGATAATTATGAGGAGGATAAGATCCTGTCTGCGGCATGGAGTTAGAATATTGAGTTGAGTTGGAAACTGGCATCGTATAGTTGTTGTAATTATTTTGTTTCGGAGTGTTATGCGTACTTTCGGCCTCCGCCGAATTATCGTTACTGGACGATGAGGAAGCGTTCGGTTGCACGCTAGCCGCGGGCTTGTTCTTTATCGTCGTGCCCTTCTTGGATTTCTTGGACTCGCCTTTCGGCTGGCGCGCCTTGGATTTCTTGCCACCCGCCGCGGATTTTTCTGCTATCGTCTCCTCGAGGTCCAAGTCATCCTCCTCGTTCGCCTGACGCTTACGTAGGAAGTAGTACAGGATGTCCGGATGATTCCAGATCTTGCAGCACACGGCGAAAGCTTTCAACGGATTCGGAACTGCGCGCGTTTTCACCACCTGATTCATGAACGTGTCGTACAATTTGCGCTGATGAGGCGTCATCCTGACCAGGAGGATGTATTCCTCCTTGCGCGGCAACGACATTTGCAACACGGAGTGAGATCTCCTCTGCACAAAACCCTCCAGCAAAGCGTGCAGTACGTGTGCGCGATATCGCATCAAGCGTATGTCCTGCGGCGTGGAGTCGATACACTGGCCGTTCTGTATCGGTCGCTCGAACATGTTGCAGAACTCGCTCTTGGTGCCCAGATAATTGGGCCTGACGAAGTCCACCATGCACCAATACTCCAGCAGATTGTTCTGCAACGGATAACCGGTCAGTACGATTCTGCGTTTCGTGCGCATCTGCTTCAGTGCCATGCTGATGCTCGCGTGCGAATTCTTGATTCGATGACCTTCGTCGCAGATTACCAGATCCGGTCCAGGATTCACCAGAGCCGTATGCATCTCGTCCAGCAAACCTTTGTTCTTGTCCTCCTCCTCTACGTCTACCGTGTCTTTAAAAGGCTGTCCGCGTTTCCGCTTTGCCTTGTTGGGCTTTTTCAACGACAACTGTCTATACAATTCGTATCCTATTAGTAGAACACCGCCGTTCAATTGCCACTCTTGTATCACTTTCGCCCTCGCCGTCATAGTTTTATGCGAATCGTTCAAGATGTGCAATCGGAAATGCCTCGGACGCATTTCCATGCCGATTGGCGCGTCTATGCTGTACGGCGTTTTCACTTTTTCTATCATCTCCTTTTTCTCGTCCGCTAATTCCTCCTTCGTTGTCGACGTACCCTCTTCTTTTTTGATTGTCTCTTCCGTTGGTTCTTTCTTCACATTCACCTCTGTACTTTGAAGTGGCATACCTCCCGGCAGCATGTTCTCCTTCTTCGGTTCTCGTTCTAATTGCTGTTGATTCGTTTGACTGCCATAACTCGCGAATGTGCCGGGAATGTTGTTGTAGTTGGAATACATCGGACCGGGATGATGATTACCCATGCCCGGATACATCGTCGCAGCGTTTCGATTCTCCATATCGGGATACATGGGGACACCCTGCGGCCGATTCTCCATGCCGGGATACATCAGGCTGGTAGCCTGATTCTCCATGCCGAATTTTGGCCCCGTCATGTTCTGCCCGGGCGGCATACCGTGGCAGTTTACCGGATCCGGCTTCATCGGATCGGGAAAGCTGGAAAGCGGATTCGGATTCGGGTTGTACAGCGGATTCTGCGGTATCTCGCCCTGATGATAGCTCGGCGGCATATGCGGTACATGAGGCTCAGCCATATTCTTATTCATCATAGTAGGATCATGCATGTAACTCGGCATCATGTTGCGCTGTTCGTAACCGTGATGAGGATTTGCGTAGGGATTCTCCGGCATAACATTCATCGGTTGTTGCGATGCACCGACAGCTGTTGCGTCATGACCAAAACGGTGCGCGGACTCCGTGCTGATAGGCCGCGACATGTTAGACATGTCGCTCTGATTGCCACAACTCTCCTCCTTCACTTCGTGCTTCATATCCATTCCTGGCTCCATCTTGACATTCGTCGCCTTGGCCTGCTTCTCGGCGGTGACGGCGGAATCTTCATACGGCAACCACATATTGAACTCCGCCAGCCAATTTTGAAGGGTGTTTATGGGCATGATACAGAGAACAGTCTTGGCAGTGGTGCATCGAAAAAAAATGTCGCAGAAGCTGGCGACTTGGAGAGTCTTGCCCAGGCCCATACTATGGGCAAGAATACAGCCGAAGCCACTGCTGGTCTTGTACCTCTCGATCGTTTCAATGATATTATCGAAGAGGAAGCGTATACCGCCGATCTGATGCGGCTTGATAATGCGGGCGACCTGCGGTGCTAAAAACACGTCCGGCTCGGTTTCGGGATGACCCACGTTGATCAACACCCGGCCGAGCTCGTCTGGAATGTTATAACGATCGTTGGTGTGCATCCCGGAGTTGGATGGATCGTCCTCGGTGTCGGTTTCCTCCTCGCCGCTAGGATCGCTCAGTACTATGCAATCGTCGTCCGAACTCTCGCTCGAGCTGGATATCGTCACCACGTCCTTGCCTTTAGGCGGTCTCTGATACTTGGGCGCGCTGGACATCTTTCGCGTCGCGTGCAACTGCTTCTCGCAGCGCATCGCCTCCTCGGCTTCCAAGTCGGACAACTCGGAGTCGGAATAGTAGTCCGCACGGTCCATCGGCTCCTTCTTAGGCACCACCGGCGATATACTCACGGACGGTGTCATCATGCGGATCCTCTGCTGCAACATATTGGGCGCGCCGGAGCGATTCGCGACACGCGAAATAGATGTCTGCGCTCCCTGATAGCCGCCTCTGCCTTTCTGCCAACGCATCCCGCCATCGATCGATCTCCTCTGCATCTGCCCCGGTTGCATCCCGCCGGTCGTCTGAGTGGTCTGAGCACCGGTGCCGGCGGCAGAATTCACTTTCAGCAGGACAGTGCTTGGCAAACGGACCTGCGTGGACGACGGCGATGTCGCCGACGGGAATGACGACGACGGGGAAGACGACTGCGAGATCATAGTCGCGCCAGCCTGATTCTGCTTGCCTTGCAAGAGACTGATAACGCGCGTCTGCGACTTATTGTTCTGCCGGTTGATCGCTATCTGACGCTGCACCTCGCGAATGATCCTCTGCTGCTCCTGCACTCGCCTGAGACGTTCCATCTCCTGCCTCTGAGCGGACAACGTGGCTTCGTCCAGTTGCGTTTCGTCCATCACCTCCCGGATGTTCCTCCGCATATTGGACAGCTTTTTCTCCGACTTTAACTCGCATTCCGATGTGCTACCCTCAGTGCTACCGTCATCCTTCTTCGCCTTCTTCTTCGCGCTGTCGGAATGATCGGAATCGGCGTGTCTCTTGTTACTATCAATGCCTTCGTCCCCCGACTGTCCATCCATCTTCTCGTTATCGTTATCCATGCTTTCCTCATCATCTGAATCCTTTAATATCGGTTTTCCTAGTAGATCGGCTTCTGATACTTCTTGACCTTCTATAGGTGCTCCTTTTGATAATACAAGAACAAGAAGCATTAAAATACAATAATGATATAATAAAAATAATTTTAATACTTACAACTAAATAATTATTTACAATGCTACATTATTATATAATTTAATATTGAAAAGATTTATCAGATATGATATGGATGTTATAGATATTATATAGCTACTATTTATTCCTCTATTTTATAATTTATGCTAAAGATTAATGTGCAAATATATTTTTTAAAACATTGGATTTCCAGATTTACAATCTATTACTAGCTCAATTAACTCAATTATACAAAATTATTATTCAATCAACAAAATTCGAAGAAATGAAATATAAGATTAGATTAAACTAAAATAGAATTATATTTTATTGATTCAATAACTCAAAATATTATTTGTCAATCATTATATTAATCTGATCTAATTAAATTATATTAGATAGAAAATCACAAAATTAAAATTTATCCTATAAAAAATAATTTAACAGCAAATCATATTAATGCAGTATTTTAATTTAAAGTTCAATTTACTTAATCAAAATAAACACCGCATGTTATTTAGTATATTCTTACAAACCTTCCAGTGGTAAGGTATCCAGAATATTAACTTGTTCCTCGTCGTCCTCCTCTGGAGATGGATGGTGCTGCTGCCTCTCCGACTCCACTCTCACACCGATCTGCGAGTCGATCGTCTCGTCGAGATCCATGTCGTCTCCCGAGCCCTCCGAGCGTATCTCTTCTATTTCCTCGGATTGCAAAGCATCGAGTTTCTTCTCTTGCTCCCCATCTGTCGTTTCGCCGCTCGACTCGTCCGAGCTCTCGTCATTAGTCGCCTGTGGCTCAGCGTTCATGTTTGCACTTGTCGCAGTCTCACTGGTCATCATATTCGCTTCACCAGGCTTGGGGCCACCGCGTGGAGTCACACGTTCAATTGTGACGTCCCCTATGCGTGTGAGAAAGCTGTCTAGACTATTAGACATGGTGTGCACCGTCCACGAAGTCACAACGTGTACCTTACTGATATGGAATGTCTCACACGTTTAAACACAACACTAATCATCTATTAGCTTAACACTCATATCGTTTAATTGTCATTTGAAATGCCTTTCCCTTCCTGTAACGACACACACATATTTACATTCTTGAAATGCTATTTTATTTAACATACGCGTTTAGAAACTCTGTTACATGTTTAGAAACTGCGACAAAGAGATAAGATATGTGTGAAATAGTAAAGTATCAATCATATAGTCTTTATATAGGCAAACGGTAGAAATTTAATATGCTAATGCTATCAATACCAAGAAAGTTCTAACTCTTATTGTTAGTAGTGTAACTGTAAATTGCATTAATGTAATAAACTTGATAAAATGAACGTTTTTAATAAACTTTAATAAACTTTAACAAAAAAACTGGCGTGTAAGCTCTCTTCTTCAGTCAATATTTTCCGTATAGATAGAATGTGCATTATCAAAATATTCTAAATTCTCTGTCTCAACTTTTATTATACATAACGACACGTACGATATATCAAAATCCGTTTATTTAACATTCTTTGGAGAACTCAATTCTTGGGATATCAGAAATTATTCTGTACGAAACAAAACTTCCTAATCTCGTCAAGTATTTTAACCAAAGAGTTTATATACATTTAACACGTGGTGACGCTAACTTAAAAACTAGAGATATTTTCTCTAGTGTCTTCTAAAAATCGCCTAGAGACACGGCATCCATTAAATCTACGATACGCCAGCACGAAGATTTATCAAATGTAACTCTCGTAGATCTTTGCAGCCGATTTGTTTGGAGAAACGCAGTTACAGGATAGACGCAACTTTCTATCTGATAAAACACTATCTCGCAGCTTACCCAATGATCTCATCCGCTGAACGGCCAGTCTCAGCTCCGAGCACAGGACATCGCACACGTGAGTCAAACGATCCGAGCACGTGTCTGAAACGATGACGATCACGGTGTATCCAATCGAACGTGGAGCACCGATGCGGAAGGAGCTGCAAGGATGGGAGACAAGGCGATAGGCCAGAGAGTTTGTTTACGCGGTGGGTCTAACTACACATCATCCGTGGCGTGCCCTATCCACCGTGTTTCGTCGTAGACGCGTCCTGATGTCCTCTCTCACTCTCTCTCTCTCTCTCTCCTTTTCTTTCCCTCGTTCTCACGAGGATCAGCCGCCTGATCGGCGATCACGCGCGCGCGGCCGACGCCATGGCCGGTCGTCGCGTTCCTCGTAGCCGAGCTGCGGTGGTCGTCAATCGTCTCACGTCCGACGAGCTCGGCCGCGCGACCGGGTCGCTTCCATGCCAGCGGCGGCGGCCCGAGGAGGAGTCGTCCCCGTCCGCGCCGCGCGCTGAGCCGAACCGAGCCGCCTAGCCGAGCAGAGTCCGCACTGTCCGCAACGCGCCGCGCCGCGCCGCGCCGCACTTCACGTCACTTGGCCGCCACGCCGCTCCGCTCCGCTCCGCGCCGCGCCGCGCTGCGCCGATCTATTTCCCCGCGCGCACCGCACTCTTAGGTTAAAGACGTATCGAATAACCCGGTGCGGCCGCGCGCACGGCACTCCCAAGCGCACGGCACTCCCGTCGGCCGGTCCTCGCACCTCACGCGAGCACCCCGCGCGAAGCGTCGGTGGTCGTCGCGGCACCCCGCGGCATTCCTTTTTCTCTCACGCGCTCCTCACCCGACGGCGTACTCCGCTCGGCGAAACGCCATCTTGGCTGCACCACCGTCGTTGTGCGCTGCACCGCCACCCGCCACCACCACCGCCGCCGTCGTCGCCGTCCGTCGTCGCGAACGACTCTCGAACGGCCCGAAGCCCCGAGCGAGCGAGTGAGCGAGCCGCGAACGAACGTACGCGACAATTGACGATAATGTCGGACGCCGAACTGGCTGCGCGCCTACCGAGGATAATAATACGAGTCATCCAACTGAGACCCGCGCACGATAAAATCCTCGAATTATGTATGAATATAATGAGATTAGAATAGGAATTTGACCTAGCGTTAGTTCATAGGAACGGTTGACTAATTTGTACCACTTAGATAAGCACCGTACATTTCTCCAAGGGCTAATGGGAAATCGTATTAAACATGTAGTAGACTCCCATCTATATTCGGCGAGCGATTATACGTTTATTAATCACTAGATAACAAAGGCATTGATAACATTGAAACTTTATCGTTGCGCGGCCGTGTTTTCAGTGGTCTTCCGTTTATTCAGGGTCGCGTTTTTTTTTTTTTTTTTTTTAGATGTCTGATTTTGATTGAAACCTTTCTTACTTGTGCCGTATATACGTTTCATGCAGCAAGATCGTTTAATATGTTACCATTATTTTCGTTGAACTATCAAGAATCATTTTTTACTTCGACACAAATGTACGCAATTTGCTTTGTCACACACACAACACGTATTTTACTTTTTTTTTTATATACATTTCTATATTAGGAATTTAATAATTATTAATTATAATCGCAATCCACGCGATCGTTTATACCTTCGAATCTTATGCTGTTGTGCAATGTAATTTGAGTTATTTTTTTTTTCAATTAAAAATTAATTGCAGGATTGTAAAGAGAAGATTTGAATAAAATATTCTGCAATTTCTCTTTGTAACAATTTAATAGAATATATATCTTTGTATTTTTTGTGCTGTTTTATCATGTAAAAGAATTAAAATTATATACAAATGATACAGTATATTATATTATATATTACCTATAGATTAACATTAAAGTATAATTGATGCTAAATAATCAAATGTGATACATATATTTATCATTTATAATATATGTATATATTTCAATTTATAATTATAATATATGTAGGTAAATACTATAGAAATAGAGCTTGATATTCTATAATACAATATACATTATCAAGATTAGACTTCTTAATTAGTGCTAAATGTGACCATGTAATTATGATAAATTTTACATTACTTCCTCAACAACAATGACAGCATGCGTGTAATCTATTTTGCGTTTATCCAATTTTGCGATTCAGTCACATTTAGTAGTACATTAATAGACTTGCACTTTCACTCATGTAATACAATTTATGTTTATAAAATGTAGAAGGTGACGTGAATAAAAATGTAAGTAAAATTGACAATACATGTTACAGATAAAATAGTCCTATGCATACATTAACTAATATTCAATTAGCGGTCTCACAAGCATCGATCCAATCATTATATACATCCAAAGGTTCCGACAGTAGATTTATTGTTGTTTGAAAGTCCTCCAAGCATACCCTGCAGGTTATCCTGGCGGTACTTCTGGATTTATCCCTGATATCATGAAAAAAAGAATTTGAGAAAGGAAATTTAAGTTTATTACTCTGACATAAATTTGTCGAGTTTGCATAAAGTCTCTCTTTAAATTCTTAAGCAATTAAGTTTGCCCACAAATAATTTAAACAAAGTGTATATCAAGTTGATAAAGCTAATATGAATCAAGAAACTTGAAGAATAAAAGTTGTTTTGTTCGAATTTACTAAAACTTGATTCTGACAGGACAAAATGAAATTTCATATACAAGCGACAACGTGTCGATGGGTTTCAGGTTTATTCTCATTAGAGATTTATTAAATCTCTAATAAGAATTAATCTCTAATAAGAGTTAAGAATTTTGAGCGAAAGAGTGTAATGTTCATTTCTACCAATGATTAACTTCAATCTCGGTTTTATTTACTTTTTATCTTTTTCTAGTTCTTAAAATTAAAAAAAAGATACAAAGCAAGTTAAACCTGAATTAAAGTTAATCTACATTGGTAGAAACGGACATAAGGCTATTGTAATTCATTTCGCGCGGGAGCAATAAACTGATAAACAATAAAATGTACGATCAAGACTTGTTAATTTAACAAGTCCAAAGTATCACGCACGGGGTTGAAAAAACTATATCAATACGAAAAGAAGAAAGAAGATAATTTACTGTGCAGCGAGATCCGGTGCTTCGTTGCTCGAAAACAATCCCGTAATCACGGAATACTTACATCTTAACCTCGCACGATTTCTCGTGATTGCAGAACGGACAATTGAATTGCGTGTCCAACGGTTGAATCGCCTTTTTCTTGCTAGGCGGTTTTCGCTTGCTCTTACGTCGACCCATCTCGCGTGCAATTGGTTGAAATTACGCGTGTTTCAAGTCGACTGAAGTGTCCGGAGAGTCGACCTGACCAAATATCAGCGTCCGTACGCTTACCCGCAACGCAACGCTTGTTGTGTATGTACCGTTAGGTTAGGTTAGGTTAATCTGAAACCGCGAATTTGCCGATCTACGGCGCACGCGCGTAGACCCTCTGCATGCACGCGGTTTTGTGATGAATTCGCCATGTTCGGTTTAACAGAACTTAATTCATATATCGAAAGCAGATTTTACAATTTGTACCGACGAGGTATTATTAAATAAAGACGGTCGGTCAAAGGCAGGTTTCGTGACTGTCAAGTGGATAATTGAAGGGGGTAATTGAAGAACGATGATATTACCAACTAATCTGTACCGCGAGGGTAACAAATATAATCACTATATATTTTATTACCAACAGTGAAAAGTTTACATTATTTTTCAATTTTTCAATTTTTACTGTACGAATATATGTATTTTTTAATTTTCACAACGTTTGCTGTATGTTTATATATGTGTATATATATGTACAACAAACGTTGCGAATATTAATTATTATACTTGTAAGCTTTTCACTGTCGATAATAAAACAGTGATTTGGTCACACAAAACAGATCGTGTTTGTTATCCTCGGTACGCCAAAATGGTTGGTAATGTCATCGTTCTTCAATTACCCTCCCGAGCCCGCCGAGCTCACTTGACAGTCATGAAAATTTTCCTTTGACAGGCCGTTTTTAATAACATGTCAGTCTCTCTTTTTTTGTATTTTGTTTCCTTTTAAACCTAAAATAGAAATACATATGTACATAATAATTAAATTTCTTCCTAAGTACAGGTATATATAGGCTGCGTTCCTCTTGGCGCTTACAGCGCTTATAAGCATTATTTGTCTTTATTTAATATTTGATAAACAACAAGGATGAAATGATTTTGTGAGCACTGTAACCAGCTGTAAGCGCCAAAGGGAACGCAGCCATAATCGCAGAAAGAAAATTCGAACACTATAATTGTTGCGACATCCAATGGGAGAGTCTGCTTTTTAGTTATCCCTAGGAAAATAAATTCTTCCATTAGATACCGAGTGCGTCCCGAATCTCATTAAAAAAAGATCATTTTATTCAAGAATTAAATATCAAATAAATCTAGTCTATAATATGGTTACGTTCAGTTTGGTGCTTACTGCGCTTTGCAGCGCTTGTGAATATCAATTGTTTGTTTACATTTGATAAACAAAACAGTGATGCTGTGAATGCTGTAAGTGCCAAATCGAATGCAGCCTGTATATAACATAATTTTATTGTTTTTTTTATTTTACTAGGTCTACCAAATATTGGTATTTTGAAAACTAATATATATTCGCCGGAACATCTCAAAACTACAAAGAACAAAGGATTCCCTGCAGTTTGTCCAGTAGTCTAGTCCAGTACATGACAATATCTCTTATCGTCGCCTGTAAGTTTTATTTATTTTTCCTAGAAAAGCAGAAAGATATCAAGAAGATAAATCTTGATAACTATGGAAAAAAGTATCAATAAATCTTAAATATATCTTATAGTACATGTATAGTTCTACAGATAGTATATAGTTTTAGTAAATGTATCTATGACTGTGATATTAATGCTTTCAGATGCGAATGACACTTTCGTGTATGACTACGAATTTTTCAAACGAATAAATTCATTTGCTGACAATGGCAACAAGGCATGACTACAATTATGAAGCAATGTTGACTTTGCATCCGGAGATGATACTTGTCTCAGAATCGCCTGTCACTTGGCAAGGCTTTCTTATCATTTCCAATCTGTATCCCGCTGGCAAGCCTCAGTGTCCTAGAGTAAAAGTGAAACTAATTATACCCAATTATCCGTTATTCTACAATGCACAAATCATCTTTGGCAAGGAGATTGCTCTCCTACGGAACAAAGAATTCAGCAGAAAAGTGAAGGAACTGATAGAGTCTGAAAAAACAGTATTATCGTTCTTGACTGGTTTAAAGACGCTCATTGTAAGTAGTACAGAATATATTGCTTTTTGCTACTTTTTTCCTTTTTGACAATTGTGTTGTGATTATACATTTTGCAAACAGGGTAAACATATCGATAACACAGAGAGTAAAGTTTGTACGACAATTGACTTTGAATTTACCAAAGATCTTTTGCAAGATGTGAAAGAGGCTCTTCAGTATCCATCTGTAAGTAAATTTACCATATTTTCCTATAAATTCTCATATGATCTCATTGTTGAAGATAAAATATCTTATTAAAGGATGTGCAATTGTCATGCGATTGGAATCTGAGCACTATCAAGTTATCCCTGAGAGGAATATTTCTTACAATGCAAAGATGCAAAGATATTCGAACGCCCTGGAAAGTGGTGTCTTCTAACATGCCTGCTATCCCAACGTTTGAAGACTTCGACAGTAATGTAAAAAATTTGAGCGTTGCGATAACAAAATTCAAATTGCAAGTGGAATTTTTGGAAAGAGCATGGGCACAGTTAAAAGAAATTGATGAGTAAATGATTTTGCTTCTCGCTTATATTCACTACGTTTACAAGAGACAATAATATCTATAAATTTCTGGATAAAATGTTTTATAAAATTTCTTTTTAATTAACCCACGACTGAAGGAATTACATATCAACAATTGTTATGCTGAAATATTTTAATATGAAATATCTTATTATCAGGAATTGTTGGATAATTGACCCACCAGAACCAAACAAAAGTCACATGTACAGACGCATTCATTTGTCGCAATCTATATCTGTGACAATTACAATAGATCCATTGAATCCTACTGCTGTGCCGAAATTGGAATTCTCGGGTAGCGATAACAAGGTGAAAAGACAAAGGGACGATGTTTCCGTTAATATTGAGGTATGTTTCATGCATAACGTAGATTATAACAGCAACTTATTTATTTATAATTTTGATTATGTATAATGTTTTTACAGAACTGGAATCCAGATTGTAATGTTTTAGAAAATTTGAGGATGTTGTTAAATATGTACGAATTTCCCGAACGGATGGAAAGTTTGGACGACGCGGAAGGCATTATCGGCAGTCGCGAGTGTGGTATATGCTTCTTTGAAAAATCAGAGACCGATGAATTGCCGAATAAGATATGCGATAACGAAAAATGCTTAAAACATTTTCATACGGCGTGTTTGGCGGAGGTACGCCAGAGATCATAATATACATTAATAATAAAATGCTTTGCATAAAATAACAATTATATATTTCAACATTCAAAACAGAAAAAATGGGTAGACATTTCTAAAAGAGCATTAACAGAATTGAACGTGATATAAAACAAAATGTACTTCAATAAAATTTTTTTTTTTTTTATAACAGTGGTTACAAAGAAACGGTGCGAATCAAGTTGTGTTCGACCATATCCATGGCAATTGTCCACACTGCAAGGAAAGCATTTCCTGTCCCATTAAATGATAAAGGTAAATATTAATTTATAATCCTTAAAATGCCTAATTTCATTCAAATATATGTATATGCGTATAATTCATTGCTTGGAGCCATTCTTTCATGGACTGGTTGAACTTCAAAGTTCCACATATTAAAATTAATGTTGTCTCCGTATCATTAGATTGGAGATAATCGGCAACAAGTACTTTGCTCAAACGGCCGGCGTTTATATTAAAACCATGAAGGTTGACTGTCGTGTCTGAAATAATTAAAAATGTAATTGAATCCTTTAACTCTGTTCATATAATTAAAAAATTCTTAATATTACAATTTTAATCGTTTATTTATGATTAAACATTAATGTTTTAACTATCAAAGTGTGAAAGAAAATTATAACTTGAGTGCAATTCTTGTATGACATATGTACATAATTTTTTTAGGTTTTTCCTTTAATATTAGATCTTAATGTCACGTACCATTTAATTGGGACAGCTGTAACGTACATTTGAAATTCCAATAACCCGCTAGATGCGTCAATTCTTTTTTCAGAGGCACATGCGCTACCGACCTAAATCCCGCAACAAGATGTACTCTTGTCAATTCCGTTTCGTCGTCAACGATCGCTTTGGCAACTGGATAAAGCGCTGCTATTCCCGAGCCGATACTAAACATGACAATCTGCTGAAAACTATCATAACAACGTATTGATTAATGGAAAACAAATTATTTTTACTTATCCACACTTTACACACCTATTACTTTCATACTTAAAATCTCCGTAAGGACCTCTGACGTCAACTGCACTACCAATTGGTGCATTTTTCAAAAGCGAACTGAATTCACCGTCTGTATATAATTTTATTAAGAAAACGAAACCCCTGTATGTCCAAGCAATCGGGGTGTATGGTCGGGATTTACTCCAGGAGTGTAGCATGACGTACTGGCCAGGTGTGAGATGCAAAATAATATTTTTTTCTACTTTGCATTCTACGTAATACAAACAAAGTATTGTTTTAAATGTAAAAATGTTTTATAATTTTTTAAAATAATATAATTGCGTTATTGTAGTTTAATAAGAAATTTTTTAAGTTTTTTTTCAGCAATAGGCTCTTGTACTTTCTATTAACTATTTACAGTACATTTTATACAATTTATTTCATTTGCTACTGATTTTATGGAACTACATTATTTATACCTGGATATTCCAAGCGAACTAAAATGTAATCTTCCGATGCATCAGATATATCTGTGATAACGAAGGTTTTGTAAGATAAAAGAGATAATAAATTGCCAACTGTTTTAACTTTCGCTCGTGTCTTTCCATTTTCCCATTCTCTTAGCAGTGTTTTGTGAACGTCAAAGATACAAGGTGTGCAGCCACTACCACAACAATCTTCCTCCAGTGGAGTTTTTGGTCTATTATCGTCATTGTCACAATCGTTATCGTTTAAACTCATTTTACACCAATTTCTTATTGCATTGTTAATAGGACCTCTCTATAAAAGAACAAATACAAGTTAACCAAACCATTTATATTACACAAGAGGTTTATTAATAAAACATATTAAGTTGTAATAATTACTGCAAAATTTATTGTCACTTAGACATTTCATCAGTAGACTTGTATAGAAGAGAATTTTACTTTATTTTTTGTCGACATGGTTTGCAAGGAAATTATGAAGACCAATTGACACATTGGAGCAGTCGACACGGAATCATCAACATGCCATAACACGTGCAGGCCGTGCAGCGGACCACGTGACTACTCAACAGACGTATCTAGATAAGTAGAGCGCTGTTCATAAGGTTCAAATAAATTTTTTAATAATTTCCAGTAATTTATATTAATAATTTATTTTTTAATTTTTATGTATGTTTTTTTATTTTAAATAAAACTGTAAGTATATTAGACTCATGTAATAAAAAAATTGTTTAAACTGTTTATCTCTATCATGCATTATAATAATTATAATTGTTTTAAATAATACGCAACATTTTATAAGTATATATCGCATTATTATATATTATATTTATATTATATAAATGTAATTATTTAAAAGAATTTTTTAAATATTCTAATAAGATTTTGTAGTTGTTTTTATCCATGCAACGAGTCGCAAGAAACACAAAATTAACTTTAACTAAATAATTTGCTAACTACACACGAGAAATGCGTCTCAGCATCGAGCTCATAAATTTTGTTAACCATCTGTATTATTTAATCGACAGAAATTTTATCATATCATTTTTTCGACAATTTCTATTTCTTTCCACGACGAGCCTAATGATACCATACATGCTTGTGAAATGTGTACGTTACTTAAGATCGGCTGACACTAGTGACACTACTTCCACGCGTGCGCAGAAAAGTCTCTAGTCTAGTCGAAAAACGCGACCGCAGAGCCACAAGAGCCGCGCGGCGCGCTGGCGTATTTACAAGGCTGCGAGCCGTCGCGGGGAGCTTGACGATCTTGCCGTCGCGGCGCGGCGATCGGCCGCATACCGTGCATTCCGGCGTAATGCCCGAGCGCGCACGCGGGCGAGGGTGGGGGCGTAAGGAGGGCACGGCGCGGTAGGCGGGTGGGGTGGGAGGATGAGGACGAATAGCCGAGGCTGCCTGTCGCGTCAAACGGGCCGTGCCGCGCGCGCACGTCCACCCGCCCGCATACCATTAGATTTTCGTGGTTTTCAATGGGAACGGGTAACCGGCCGCGACACGACGCGCCGACGACGTGAAGTGCGCCGTATACGATCGGACGTAGCGTTCACCGCCCGGGCTGTCAAGAGCACGGCGGTGGCGGCGGGCGGGCAACTGTCGCGGCGTGAAACCTGCGTGTTTTTCGCAGGTGCGGCGCGGCGCACGGTTCCCTCGGCTTCGCGGAGCGGAGCGACGTCGGGAGCGACGAGCCGCCGCGGGTGAGTAAAGAGAGACATAATAAACGCACACGCATAGAGTGTATAGGCGTGCGTCCGCGCGCGCGCGCCAATACGATACGGCATACGTAAATGCCCGCACGCACTGTCAAATAAAAGACGACGCGGCGGGAATAAACGACGTGCCGGCAAGGATCCTTCCTGAGGAATGCCGCGCGCGTACGCCTCCTCACACACACACACTCTCTCTCTCTCGCTCGCTCTTTTTCTCTCTTTTCCTCCTCTCCTTTTTCTCGTCTCTTTTTTGCATTCTTCTACGCTACGCCGCATTCCTCTATTGATTCCCCGCGAACGTCGAGAGACGCGCCGCGCGGCGGTGGCGCCGACGGCGACGATCGCTCGGAGTAGCGCGCCCGACCCGTCATCGTCGTCGTCGACGGTTTTTACTCCGCGAATCTCGAGGCCCATCGGCGGATTCGGAGGTTCGAAAAAAACCGCTTCGTGCGATCGCGGGGTGATCTGTCGTTTCCGAGAGAGAGAGAGAGAAAGAGACGGAGAGATATACATCGAAAAGGCGCGCGAGTCGGCACCTCTTCTCGTCGTCGCACTTGCCGAGGAATTTCGCAGCAGGTACGCGATTTCCGAGCGAATTCGCCTTCGCGAAATCGTTCTGATAAAGTCAGTCGAGCGCGGCACGGTTTCCCACGACCGATGTTGACGTTTCGTTCGCGTCTCGGAATTTCGCAGCGAGTCTCGCGACGAGAAATTCGTCGCGTTCGCCAGGACGAGACATTTATATTTGCGATTCGTGGTTTGTCAATTGTACAGTGCAATTTTTACACGCGACGACGCGAGTCAATGTAAATCGATTGATTCGTGGTGATTCGCGCCCTTTGATCTCGTTACAAAACCGCTGCGCCATCGCAAATCGGCACAAGTGATAAACAACAAATGCGAACTCGACGAATCTCTGCCTGATGTTCGCGCTGTTCGCGAATTTCATGTGATTAGCGAATCGCGAATCGCGAATTATGCAGTCTGGCGTTGGCTTGGGAGAAACCGGAGAAACTCGGCGCGACATGCACGCACGTGCCATCCGCGCGTATCACGAAATCCGAATTCCACGACGTCGTGGTGATCGCGCGAATCGGCATTTCTTAAAATGGTGATGTTTGAAGTCACGACGGTCGGAATTCCGCCGCGGGATTCCTCTCGGCGCGTTCCCTTCGTCCGGGGACCGATTGATTTTTCGATTTATGGATTTTCGTGAACGGACGTACAAGAACGGATACCCTTACGCGATGATTCGTGTAGAATTTACCGCATTTCGCGACACCTTTCTGTGTATCTTTCTACGATTTTATTATCTTTTCCTGTTTACTGAAATTGCGGCTTTCGCAAGTGCAAAATTTAGAAATTTAGAAAGTGCACAGCAGACGCGGAAGAATTTATGAGAGATTGAATCTACGAAAGCAATGTATTGTACTTTGTTCTCTTTCAAATGAAGGTAGACGTTTCCTGGTTACCTTCCTGCCGGCTATTTTGACAAAAATCTTGAAATCATGAAGTCAAATCAAATATTTAAGTATTCTCTCGTCTTCACTTTTAATAACATCTGGAATAAGATAACTTCGATTTTGCTAGTTTCTCTTTTTTAAGATTGTGACATTCGCAAAATCTGGAAATTTAAAAAATGCATCAGATATGATGACATTTATGAGAGATAAATCTATGGAAGCACCGCGGACTTTGTTCCATTCTAAATAAAGTTAGATATTCTCGATTATCTTCTCCTGCGGATAAAATGATCTGCTCTGACTTCATGACAAGTTTTAGCATAGAGAAAACTTGTCACGAAGTCAAATCAAATATTTAAGTTTTATATTTATAATTTAAATATTCTTCTTGTCTTTACTTTCAATAATTTTTAAAATAAGATATACATTCGATTTTGCCTCTACTCTTTCTTGAAACTGTGATGTTCGTAATTTCAAAATTTGAAAATTTAGATAGTGCACGAGGCATTAAGAGATTAAGATCTACAGCAGCTTCGGACTTTGTTCTCTTCTAAATAAATGTGGGTATTTCTTGGCTACCTTCCTGCCGGATGTTTTAGCAAGCAAAAAAAACTTACTATGAAGTGAGATCAGACATTTAATTTTCTTTTTATCTTTTAATTTGAAATAATTAATTCTTTTACTTTTTTTAATAATTTTGGAATAGAGTAAATTTTTATTTTTTTTTACATGTAATATTTGTAACTTCTTGTCCTCAAAAATATGTTTGTCGTATATTTTTTATCACGTTCCTACATTTCGGTAGAAATGCAACGTATTACGGCAAATAGAAGAGAAACGATTAACTCGCTTGACGTTTCGTTCGTCGGCGCGTAAAAATTCCGTGGAACGCGCTCGCGTTTGGAATTCCATCGGGTGCGTCGAACTTTTCCCCAAGTATGATCACGCTGATCTTTGTTTAGGGAAAAGTCGTTGCAATGCAAGTGGAATGTTTGCAACAATTAAACGGATTTCTTCAGAAAGGAAAGAATGCGCTTCAAGCGAGGTGTCCTTCACGCTTACGAAAATTTCTTTGTTAACGCGCCTTCCGCACGTTCCGTTCGTTCCATTTCTGAAATTTTATCGCGCCTTTTCGTCACTCCCGACGCAACGGAATTCTTGCGATTCTTTTACGATTCATGCTCCCGCATACCGCGACGTTGTTTTTTTTTCTTGGACGACAGTCGATTTGTTAACTTTGAGGACGCGTAAAGCAGAAATCTACGCGATACATCGCATCGCTCTGTCATCGGACGTTTTCTCGGGAAGTCGACCGTAAAAACATCGCGTGCTCATTATTCGATCCCTTTCTACTTTTTTTTTCGCAGTAATTCCGATAAAACGCATCTGTATACAAATTGTACGAAAATCGATTTCACATTTTATTACATTGCCGTTGTTTTTACCATGACGAGGACACGTGCGGGTGAAATCAGAGAGAGAGAGAGAGAGAGAGAGAGAGAGAGAGAGAGAGAGAGGCAGTTGAAAGACGGGGATTTAAATGTACAGACTTTATATAATTCCCCATTTGAATTGAAGTTTTTTTCTTTCACGAGTTCGTCAACGACGAAGAAATCTCGATCGGCGGTTTCGAGCTCTCGCGTTCTCGAACACCGCGGTCGCGTGTATAATCGCCCGCATACCACGTGCTATTCAGTGCGTATATATATGTATATATGTACGTGTATATACGGGGTGTACGAATTATTCGACGGAATCGCTCTTTCTTTTGGTTGAAAACTTTCCCAGGAGTATCCCTAGATGAAAACTTGGGTTTTATCAGGATAATTTATAATTTCTAATGTTCTGACGAATAAATTTCTATTAATATTGCGTCAAATACTTGTTTAAAGACAAGTTTCTGTTATCTGTTTACAATCTTTATTTTAAATGTCTCTAAAAAGGCTCTAAAAAGGCTCTCGTAACGGTTAATATATTAACGCTGGTCAAACCACTTCTCGACATTCAACTACAAATATCTTCGTGGATAATCCGCATAAGAATCACATTAATTTGAAGCACATAATTTAAAAATTATTAATACATTGATATTAATAGCGTTGACTTCAATCTTTCAGCTTGATTTCTGAAATTTTGTGCTTTTTTTTATTAAGATAATAATTTCGGAACACCCTGTATATCCAATCGAATCTTTGGTCAAGATAACACGTGGGAATCTGATGTCGATCGAGTGGTTAGAGCGGCGTGCGTGACGTTAGTCGAAGGTGTGAAGATTCACCGTTCTTCCTGCAGATCACACACCGTTAATTTAACGTTCTCGGTAATCGATTTGAACACATACGTTCTGCTTGCAATAACTTCGCGAAAAATA